ATCAAAAAAATGTTTTTTACCACCAAAACTTCTAAAACTTTGATTTTACCACCAAAAAAACTTCGAAAAATTGTTTTTTACCACCAAACGTCAAGAAAACCGTTAAATCTAACGGTTTAAAAAAATTCCTTCGTATTTTGTGCGCAAAAGATGTTTTTCAAAGGTTTAGGGGGGCACTTTAGTCCTTTGGGTCCAATTTGAGGTCAAAATTAACAAAAAATGATCGGAAATGCCTCGTTTTGCGTTTTCACGCAAATCGAGGTTTTTTTAAACACGCTAAACGAGGCATTTCCGATCATTTTTTGTTAATTCTGACCTCAAATTGGACTCGAAGGACTAAAGTGCCCCCCAAAACCCCTAAAGAGCCTGTGCTTGACACGAAAATCGAAGAATTTAGAAAATTTCGTTAGGTTTTTGACGGCAGGTGGTAAAAAACAACTTTTATTTTTTTATTTGGTGGTAAAATAAAAGTTTTAGAAGTTTTGGTTGTAAAAAACATTTTTTTTGATTTTTTTTGGTGGTAAAAGTCAAAAAATCCAATACAAAATGAGTTGTCTTTTTACCTTCAATGGTGATACCATATTCACTTCTCAATTTAACATTTCATGTAAAGCCTAATTTTCCAATGGTGAGACTCTCTAAAGTATACAAATGACACTTTCAGTTATGGCTCACCAAATCATTTCTTTTTTATTATCAAATATTGTAAGATAAAAAAAAGATAAAATTTAAATAAATTACAAAATGTATTAGAATATTGACAGGGATCCACATTTTTTGTCAAATGAGACTCAAAGTTGAGTATCTAAACTTAGCAACTTTCTTTTGCAGTTGCTAAGTTTAGATACCAACTTATTGGTATACATTGCAAAAAAATACTCTCTCTCTCCTAAAAATACTCACTTGAGTCTCACCATTGGAGAGGATTTAAACTTACCAACTTTCTTTTGGAGTTAGAAAGTTGTTAAATTTAGATACCAACTTATTGGTATCCTTTACAAAAACTACTCTCTTTCCTAAAAAAATTTCCTCAAATCTCACCATTGAAGATAATTTTAAGCGCCTCATGATGATCACGAGTCTATTAAAGACTTAGGGCCTGTTCTCTTACGTTGAAATTCAGTTCATTTCAGCTTAGTTCAGTTCAGTTCAGCTCCTAATTTCCTTCTCTTATAAAATATTCATTTCAGCTCAGTTCAGTTCAGTTCAGTTCAGTTCAGTCAATGAGAACAGGTCCTTAGACCGTACTATGACTAGCAGACCAGTTTGTCAAAAGGCTGTGACTAAAATCTCACTTTGCCTAGCTACTTTCCCCAAGAAAACCAAACAACTCATGGTTCCAAAACTATTGTAATAACACAAATTATCCATCAAAGTGTCACATTTGCAAACATAATTATGTAATAAGTAAACAAATCAACAAATCAATACTCTTGATCGATATTACTTAGTTCAAAATAACTTTTAATGACTAGTTCAAGTTTTTTTTTAACACAACTAGAAGATATATTAGATTAAAAGGCTAAGGCCTTAATATTTACATAGTACATCCCATACCTTTTACACTGAAAATTGATGTAATTACAAAAGTTGCCAGTATAATAGGCTAACCATAGCTCCAAAATTACTCTCCTAAGGAGAAGAATATGTACATCATCTAGTAACCCAAAAGCTATCAACATCCATAATGGAGAACCAAAAGCTACTGACATCCATAACTAAGACAACCTGAGCATCAGTTTTGTTGATTAGAACCTGCTGCAACACGAGCTTTCTCAGCTTCATATAATTTTGAAACACAATCTGGAACAAGATAATGAGTCTTGTACCTAACAGCCATCTCCCTTCCATGAATAGCAAGTCGATGAGCCAACTATAACAAGATAATGACTAGTTCAAGTTATTTGTAAATAATATACACAATTAAAAACTGTTGTACACAATTTAAAACTATTGATCATTGATCTTTGAAATAAATTTAATTTATAACTAGTTTTGTGCCCGTGCGATGCCCGGGTTGTTTATTGAATTTTAAGATAAATTTTTAATCTATATGTCAAATTTTAAAATATATCATTGATACAAAATTAGTTAAGAATTGATGTGTTTTTGTGAAAATTAAAACTATGTAGTAGACATGTAATGATTAATAATAATAATAATATTGGTGAAAAATATTTCTTGACCCGTAACCTGAAATAATGACCCTGTTTGAAATGACTTGGGACCAGATCCGATTGACAATGACTGGTCTACACAGAGTAATAAAATTATATTAGATTGTGAAGTATATATTATTTAAATTGATTAGAATATATTATAAATAAAGGATGTGGTGCATTTTGAACTAATTCCTTCTCTCTAAAAAAAATATTATGATACAAAAAATAAATTTATATAATAATTTATGAGAGTTATAATCTAATTATTTTTTAAATAAATAATAATTCAATTTGTACATATGAAATATTGGTACTTTATCGAAAATAAAGCTCTAAATTAACAATTTTATCCTAAAATTCTATCGAAATTTGATTGAAAATAGAATTATAAACTACGGAGTAATTTTTTTATCCTACAAATTAAATTCTATATATATGACTCTATCTTACGTGGCGCGACACTTGGCGAAAATTTGATACGCCAAATGTCGCTGTCTCGTCGCCTGTCTAAAAGTTTAGCTTTATATATTAGTTATATGATAACCTTTGTATCTCAAACATAATCTTTAGAAAATAATATAAAAATAAAAATATTCCACTTAGCTAAATTATTTCATAACATCTCATTACACTTGCAGCACTCAAAAATTTTCACTTTTAAAATTCCCTTTTTATAATCATAACTATTTTCATCATACTGAAACAAATTGAAAGATTTTACATTGGTTTCTAACAATAAAGGAGAAGGTCTAAAATGTTACTTATAAGTTTGTTTTATCAAGACAACATTGTCAAATAACTCAATCAAAGTAGCATTCACCTTTAAACTAAAGTAGTTATAAGGAAAAATTGTCACGAAACAACTCGCTTAACAGGTCAATTTGTGAACAACTACTTGCTAAAAAGTTTAATAAATCCAGTAAAAAAAAAGTTTAATAAAAAACTACCCTCCAAATTTTAAAAGTTTAGTAGCATTACCCTTTTCATTTTCCCACAACTAATTCCGACGAGTGGGACCTATTCTGACAAGAAATATACTAGGTTAGATCCCGTGCCATGCACAGTAATTTATAGTTATATATAGCTATAGATTATTGATAAACTCTCCTTTATTTAGTTTTTGGCCGAAAATTGGACTCTAAGTAACAAAAGTTGAAAAAAAAAAACATTAGGGTCCCATAAGGTTAAAAAAAATAAAAAGAAATCTTCAACCCCAATGTTAAATTTATATTTTACTACATAGAAAAAAATACATTTTTATAATCCCAACTATTAGTGATTTACTTCTAATAATTACTTTCTGTGTTTTTATTTACTTGCAACACTTATTTTTTCACACTTGCCGATGCATTATTTCAATCGTTTATATCTTTAATTATCAATATGTAAAAATTATAAATGTTATATATTAAAATAGTATAAATCGAGACGAATCTAACAAGATCTCACATGACTATATTTTTTCTTAGCTATAAATCATCAAAGCTAGTCAAAGTAGATTATATGAATAGTGTAAAAGTCAAACTGTTGCAAGTATAAGAAAACGGAGGAAGTATGAATAAGGTTTATTATCTAAGAATCCCAACTATTGGGTATGTTTGGCTGTTTGCCTCCAATGATCCCAATTGGTCAACACCAAAACAATGCCTTATTGTAGCAAACCATGTTCGAACATGGGGCTTTTGAAAAAAAAAAAAAATCACCCTTCCAACAAGTTATCGGTCATTGAGATCACTGGAGGCAAACTGAGCCCATAATTGGGATTATTAGAAGTAAATTGTTAATAGTTAGGATTACTAAACTGTATTTTTCCCTTATTTTTACGATCTATGTGTTTAAATAAGTGTTACACTTTGACCGGCACATAGTTTTAGGCAATTTTATTAACTTAAATACAATAAGAGGTAAGTGGGGTAATTGAAGTATTAAAAAATTATAAAAGAAAAATAGTGGGTCAATAGTTTATTGAAAAGTAATGAATGTGAGAGGTAATATATAATAAAAAAAGTACTAGTGGGTTTATGTGGGGACTATGAGAGAAGAGAGATATGACAATGCTTGGTAAATGACTTTTTATTTAGCTTTTGACTTTTGGCTTTTTTATGTGGTCAAACAGCCAAATAATGTGTTTGGTAATTGACTTTTTACTCAGCGAAAAAAACTGGCTTTTAAGCCAAAATGAAAAAGATGCTTTAAGTAGCTTTTTTGTTGGTTTTTGGCTTGTTGACCTACAAATTATCTAATAAACAGTCAATAATTAATTTACCAAACATTTTTAAAAATAACCAATTTCAAAAGCCATTACAAACATCCAAACATTTCAGCTGGTCAAACAAGCTAAGTGAATTAGCCAACAACCAACCGCCAACACCCATTTGTCAAACAAGGCCATAATATTTGAATGTAGCTTTTTGTCAAAACAGAAAATGTAACACTTATTAAAACATGGTCAGATTTGATAAGCGTAACACTTATTAAAACACGAAAAGAGTAATTTTTTACTCCCTCCGTTTCATAATGTTAGTCCCATACACTATTTTGGACGTTTCAAAATAATCTACCCATATTGAATCTATTCCTTATTTATTTTATTTTATTTTCCTAATCTGCCCTTATTATTCCATTAAAATTACCTAATTTATCCTAGGATTCTATTTAGATTATTTATTATTAATTCAACTTCACTAAATAAAATCTTTCCCAATATAATTTGATTTTTATGTCCCTATATGATCCAGAAAGTTCCTCTCTTCTCTTTCTTCAACCTTTCACCATGTCTTACGAGTAATTTTTTTTTTTTAATAAACCCTAGCTTTCTCTCTGAAATTACAGTTTTTTTTTTTTTTTTTTTTTTTTTTTTTTTTTTTTTTTTTTTTTACGATTTCGACTTCAAATCTTCCTCTTTGCTCCTTCAGTATTCGAATTGGCCGAATTACTCCTTACTTTGTTCAATCCGTGTTCGAAATCTGCGAAGAAATCTGCAAATTACGGTAATTTGATTACCATGTCTTATTATGCGATTTACAGTATGTACTTATACCATTAATGCTTCATAATTTGAATCATCATTCGATTTACAGTACTTATACCACTATTGCTTCATAATTTGAATTATCTAATCTTTTTGTTCAATTTGTAAGAATTAAAATTGTTCAACTTTGAAGCCCATTCACGATGTCCCCTAGTAATTTTTTTTAGTTGCATTATTTTTCCAAAACAAAAGTTTCAAATTAGTTGCATTACTTTTCTTTTTAGTTATATAGTTTAAAACCATTTTTTTTACTCTCTAAATCATTCTTATCTCCAAAATTACTTGAGTAATGCAATTTAAAAAAGGCTAGGTCTATTCAAGAAAAAAAAAAAAAAAATTTAGGCTACTGTATTATTGGACCACAACCTTGACAAAGACTTTTATTTGACGGACATTTCAAAGTCTTATTATCATTTACTAGATTCACTATTGAGTATTGACTGTTGCTGATAGACTGATATAAGTGATAGGCCAAGTGCATTAGCCTTGTTGTTATATAAAGTTGACACAAATTGTTTAGGGTAAATTCTCCGCCGCGTTTACATATTTTTTTCCTCTTTAGATCTGTTCTTCGACTAACTAATATGCTACAAAAATGATTTTTTCTATTTGCTACCAAATTATGAGAGATATAATGCTACAACAATGTAGCGTTTGCTTCAGGTTTTTGACGATGTTATCATCGCCTTTTGGATCTAATTGTGTTGATGCTATTTCAAATTCGACCATGGTTTCCCTGTCTAAATCATCAATTATTTCGCCCCATAATAAGGTATAGTTTCTTAAGCTACTCAAAATAAGTCTAATTTCTTATTGTATATTTGTTTTATTCTAAAATTTCATGTCTTATATTATGTTATGTGTAATGTACAATTGCTTACTAGAACAATATATATATATATAGAAATAAGATCATATGAGACCACCCTCCTTATGTGAGAACCCTATTTTATGTGAGGACATATTATAACCGTTGGATCAACTACATCCAAGGGTCATAATACAACCCGGTAAAACAAACAAAACTAAACAAATTTATTTCAAAATTTATTTCCTACGTTTTTTTCTCTCTCCTTCTTTTTCGCTCATTTTTCTCTCTCCTCCTTCAATTCTACGGTGTTCATACTCTGCTGCTCTCTGATTTTTCATCAAAACTTCTTCAATCTTCATCAATTTTCGTTAATGTAAGTCTATTGTTTATACATTTGCTGTTTTTCGATTAATTTTAGGTTACATTCATTGTTTTATTTTCGTTTTGATGTTCGTTTAATTTTTTCTGATTTTAGCTCATTCATTTAACATGCAATGTGTCGATTATGTTTTATTTTTTTATTTTTTGTTGATTTTAGCTTTATTTTCGTTTTCTTGAGTGATTATCCAGTAAATTTTAGTTTTATTTTGCCTGAATTTTGGTTTTACTAAGTGTTCTTGTTTTGGTTTTGTATTTGCGATATTATGTTGTTTTGTTGCGATTTTTGTTTGATTTTGTTGCGATTTTTGATTGATTTTCATTTTGCTTTTCGTTTCTCATCTCTGATTTTAGGTTAATTTTTGTTTACTTTGTTATATTTGATTGATTTTGTTGCGACTTTTTTGATTGATTTTCGTTTTATGTAATTTCTCAAAAATTTGTAAAATGCTGTTTGTCTAGTATCGGAAACAACAATTTGTAAAATTGATAAATAAATGGTGATAGTACATTAAGATGCTATCAAAACCAAAAAAAATCTATTTATTTCTAATAGAAACATAGCAGTAAAGCGCTAATCCTGAAGGTGTAACTGCATTCTGATGTAGCCCATATTGTTTTGATAATTCTCTACTATTGTATAAAAGTAATAGCTCCTCTGCTTCTTGTCCAACATTAACTCAAGGCTGGAAATTAGGTAATGTTATCTTTCGATATTCTTTTTGTGATCTACATTGTTAAACTGTATGGGTTTTGGATGATATTTGAAAAGGTCTGGAGGAAGGCAGCTAAGTCAGCCCCGTAGATGATTGCTCAAAAATTTTGCTTGTCACTTAAAGAGCATCTTTGATTGCTCATTTGACAAATGAGCATTTATGTTTTTGCTCATTTGACAAATGAGTATCTATGATTTTGCTCATTTGTATAAAATTACCAACTAATTATTTACTTTTTTTTTTAATTGTTTTTGCTCATTTGGGAGTGTTGAATGTGTTATATTATCTAACCAGTAAAGTCGATGGTTCCGAGTCTTTTGTAAGGTCCTCCATGATGTGTAATTGCACCTTTATGTCATGTAGTCTACCTAACTTGCTGAATTTTGTTTAATCTCCTGACCTTACTGAGCTTTTCTAGAGCGCTCTATCACTATTCACTAGTTGTTACACTACCTTTCCATCATATTCCTTTCGGGAAAGGACTTCTGGGGCAATATAGGCCAGTGTTCCTACCGTCGATTTTGGTTGAGAATGTAGCACTGCAGACTATTATAATTAACAAAGATTAGTCATGATTCTGTTAAGGCTGTTGTGTCTGTCTGCGAGGCTGTTGGTGTCTGTCAGTGTGGCAGGTTCTGTGCAGCTCTTGTCCTTGCAGTCTGTTTCGTTTTTCTTCAGATCTGAGGTTCTGGTTCTGTGTTTGCTGGGTGTCCTCTCTGCTGTAGTCTGTTGTTCTGCTTCACTCAGTCTGAAGGCTGTTGTGCTGATCCTTGGTGTGTTTGGATGCTGGCTTGGTTAGCTGAGTTCAGGTGTTGCAGGCTGCTGTTTGCTCATGCTGGAGTTAGTTGCTGTTTCTGTTTTGTGTCTTGTTCAGGCTGTTTTAGTGCCTATTTTTCAGCTAGTTTGTGTTGTTTGTTTCTGTTTTTTTGTGTTGGCCTTTGTCCTAGTCCTTGCTTGTAGCTCCGTTCAATGAAGATGCCTTCTTGCATGAGGGTAGGTAGGTGTTTTTTCCCTCTCGCCGTGTTGGGCACCCTTCCTAGAAGGTGGTCGGGGACGGGTTTGGGAAGTAGGTGGTGGTTGTGTGCCTTCGGGCTGAACTGGTTTCTGACATTTGATGTTCTTGGCTGAAGCAGTTCATTGTATTTGGATTCAGAGGGTTTAAAGGCTCGTGTGAACCTGCTGAGACTATTGGTGTACAGAGTTGCTTGCAGAAGCACTGAGATTGACAGAAGGAAGCTTATTTGGTCTTAGGGCATATTGGTTTTCTTTTTAGTTTCATGGTTTTATTGTATTTGCCTTGCTGTGTTGGCTAGTGTGGGCTGTTTGCTTGTTTATCTTGTTCAGGCTTGTTTTCTGAGTTCTGTTAGGCTGTTAGGCTGTTTGAGCCTGGTCCTTGCTTCTGGTACCCTTCCTAGAAGTTGAACAGTAGCTAGGATCCAGGTTTATTCTTGTTTCAGGTTAGCACCCTTCCTAGAAGGTGGTTAACCTTGAGCCTTGAACTGGTTTTTGTGGTTGTTTGGCCTTGTGGTCTTTGTAGTTTGGATGGGCTGTTTGCTCTCTTTTTTTTGTACTGTGTACTTTTCTTTTTGGTAATAAATTTTCTATTTACCAATAAAAAAAGCTTAATTCATTTGAAATTAAGCTTTAATAACAGAACAAAAATCTAATATCAGAGAATAAATATAATGAAATGTACTCCATAATTATGCATTCTCTCCTGTTTGTTTTGTCATTTATAGTATTGCAGTAAATGAAATTTACTCATTTAAGTCTATGTTTTTGCTCATTTGACAAATGAGTATATATGTTTTTGCTCATTTGTATAAAATTACCAACTAATTATTTACTTTTTTTTTTAATTGTTTTGTATGAGCAGGGAGTCTATTGAAAAGGAGCCTGCTGCCGATGTTGGTTCATCAGGTGCTATTGCTGATGTTGTTTCAGCAAGGCCTGCTGCTAATGTTGGTTCACAGGGCCTGGTGTTGGTTCATCAGAGGTATTAGTTGGTACTAAGGTTAAAGGTAAAAAGGTTGAAAAAGGATTAAAAGAAAAACAAAAGATTAAGCTGGAGGAGACGAAATCCAGCAATGAAGGGGAAGATTTGAAGTCTCATGTTTATGGGATATTACATAGTCGGATGTCCCCTTCATCCATAGTTCAAGTTATTGAAAAATGTTCAGAAAATCAGTTGAAAGCTATTAGAGCAATAGGATTCGGGTGTATGGAGTTCTTGAAGGTGACCCAACTGCCTTTGTTGCTGGCTTTATGGTTGGCGCATCACTTTGATGCTAACACATGCTCTTTAAACATTCCAGATTCTGAACCTTTTTGTATCACTGAAGAGCATGTGCATCAAGTACTTGGCTGCCAATGGGTGGCATAGAAATTGACAAAAATAATTTTTCCAGAGATAAGAAAGTGATTCAGCAATGGAAGAAGCAATTCAATAGCAACTCACTCTCTATCAAAATAGGGGAGCTGAAAGAGTTTCTGAAAGAGCATAACTCAGCTGGTCTTATGTTCAAAAGGAACTTTGTAGTGCTATGCGTTTCTACATTGATGGATGGTAAACTTTTTATTTTTATTTTGCTTATTTTTAGTTATAGTTAGCACTTAGCAGTTGTGTGCTATATATAGCAATTATATTATCTAAGTTGTTGGTCATATATGTATAGAATCAGTTACTTGAATCTATACATCATTAGATAGAGACTATTGACACTTTCAGAATAAGATATATATATATGTATTTATCTTTTGTTCTATTTATTTATATTTTGATGGATTATTGTTGTTAGTCAATGATGAGATGGGTGAAAAAATTTGGAATAGGATTTGGTACATACTTCATATTAACATACTTGTCAAAAAATTTCAAGTTATATTATAAATTAGTTATATCATCAGGAAAAGGTGGAGAGTCAACATCATGGTTTAAATTTTATAGGAGTTTGCTAATTTTCAATTTTGTTTGCTTATTTATATTATATTTTGTTCATTTAAATTTCCTTTTGCTCATTTTTCTTTTGTTTTGCTCATTTTTTTTTCAGGGAAACAAAATGTGAATATCAATTCTGATATTCTCACATTTCTTTCTGATGTTGATAAAATAAAGGACTTGAATTGGTGCAAGTATATCCTTGATTCACTTGTGAAGGCCAAGCTTTTCTGGGAAGAACGTCAAACTCGTTCTTTTCCTGGATCTAACTGTTTCTTATGGTATTACTTTAATTTTTGTTGTTTTTTTAATGTAGTATTTTTTACTTATTTGTTGATTTTTAATTTACTAATTATTTTTTCTTACTTGTTTGTAGCTATTGAATGTATTAATTTTTATTTGTTTAATTTTAATGTGCTAATTTTTTCTATCTTACTTGTTTGTAGCTTTTATTTGTTTAATTTTAATGTGCTAATTTTTTCTATCTTACTTGTTTGTAGCTTTTATACGTTGATCAGTTTGTCATTGAGGAAGTTAGAGCCAAACGAGAAACTTCAGTTCTCAAAGGTTGGACAACCAATATGTTGTCAAGTCGTGAGAAATTGGAAATTTTTAAGGGAGGCTTGGAGTTTTTTATAAAAACTAGAAGCTTGTTGGTCCTTCTGGCACCAAACAACCAAAACTGGTATTTCACTTGTAACCAATACTTAGTTTTTCTATGTCTTTGGCATTGCTTGAAGAATTGAATTGGAACAAATCTTGCTTTAAGGAAAATGATGCAATGTGGTGCTTTTATAGCACATTAATGGACCTCCTAAATCAGCAAAAAAATATTTGCTCATTTGTCAAATGAGCAATTATTTTTTGCTCATTTGATACTGTGTGATTTGGATGAAAATTACACAATTATGTAATATTTTTTTTTTTGTTTTTTTTGTTTTTGCTTGATTTTAAGAACAATCTGATCCAATTCATACAAAAAATGAAGAAATTGAACAAGATCCGAAGAAGGTATTTATATGACTTTTCTGGAAACTTATATTAATTTGCTCATTTTTATATGACTTTGCTCATTTTTTGTTTTTTTTTTTTCCTAATTTTTTACTTAATTGTGAATTTGTATTGTTGTTTTGTGAATTTGGGGATTGCCGTGCGATGAAAGAGTAGGGGGTTAAAAGGTTGGGGGTGTGCGAGTTGTTATTAGCCCAATCCCTATCCTCCCTAAGATACATCTTCTGGTTAGCTTTAAACATAAATCTGATTAGCTTTAAACACCTCAGATGGTAAAACCTCCTCATTAACATGTGTAGGTGTTTGCTCATTTGATAAATGAGTAATCAACTATTTGCTCATTTGGTAAACGAGCAAAAAATTGATTGCTCATTTGACAAATGAGCATCTATGTTTTAATTTACTGCATGAAAGGACTTTTAGCTATTGGGGAAATGGATTTAAGGATCCAGGTGTAGTGTTAAATGATCCTCTAATTGTTAGCAAAAGAAAACTCTAACAAGCTGATCATGATTTTGCTCTAAAGTTTGGTACTCCTTTAAGTATTCAAGATGGTCTTGGCTTCTTTTCATTATTATGAATTAATTTTTTTTTTTTTTTTTTTTTGTTAGAAATGCCTTATGGAGCTTGCAACAGCATCTACAAATCTAGTCTTGGCATACATGGATTTCAGTGAAAAACATGAAACTGCTGTTAAGTATTTTCCAAACAATGAGAAGATTCAAAAGCTGAAGGAAGATGCAATGACTGTTTGTGATGAGCAGAAGTTTAGCCAAGATGAACAGTATTGGCAAGATCCAGCTGTAATTGAAGCTTGGGATAGGTTTTCGAAGATTTCAGGCAATGACAAGAATGCTGAATCTACAATTTATGCTAGGGTTGAATCAGAACCAATTGATATTACTAAGATTGCTGCTGAATGTGTTGACATAGCAAGTGGTATACCTGATGTTGAAGATCCATCTGTTATCATACAGCCTAAGGTTGCTGAACATGTATTTAAAAAACTTGGAGAGTCAAGTACGAGATATAGTTTAAGAAGTTCAGTTGCCAAAGGATGTGGAACTCCTTCATTCAACTTAGGAATCTCTTCTCAAGATGATTCTCAGGAGAAGTCCCCCAGCATTGCACCTACTGATGAACCTGTAGTTGCTCCTGTGAGTGCACAAGTTGGTGCTTTTAAATCAGTTGATGATGCTGATGCTGTGAATGCTCAAGAAGACCCAATTGCGCTTAAGAGAAAAGGAGATGCTGAAAATGAGAGTTGTATTCCAAAGAAGCGTAAAGTGCAACCATCGTTGCAAATAAGATCTCCTTTTAAGTCTCGGATTATCAACATATATACACCATTAACAGCAGTTCAGAAAGGTGTTATGGATTCATTTTTTCATGAGAAGAAAAATCGTTTGTAAGTATTTATTCAATTTTTTCGGTTCTGGAAATTTTGGCAACTGACTTTATTTTTCTTTCTTATAACAAGTCTAGCTCTATATTCTCACTTTACATATCTACGATTGAAATTATTTTAACTTCCCTAAATCTTATATGTAGTGATGCAGGGTTTTTATGCAAGGGTTTTTATGCAAGGGTGAGCCTGATAATGAAGTAATGCTATTTCAACTTGAAATGCTAAAAACTCAGAGCAAAATTCATGGCAATATCATTAATGCATGGTCTACTGTTCTGAATTTTAATGAGCAATATAAAGATGTCAATTCTTGTGGACGTTTCTTTTTTGGTCTTAATGCTGTTGTAAGTTCAACTCGTTCATTTTATTTTGTTTTATTTTGTTCATGTTCACTTTGCTCATTTCATATAATTTTTTTTATATTTGAATGTAGATGTTGTTTTGTATTTGCAAAAACTATTATTAGTTCTTTGCTCATTTGTCAAATGAGCAAACTATTCAATGCTCATTTGTCAAATATTCTTGCTCATTTGTCAAATGAGCAAAAATTAAATACTGAACTAATTCAAGTCTCTTATTGGATACTAAATAACATAAAATCTTTTGATAAAATATTTGAAATACAGAACTAATAATAATATAAATTCTGACTTCCTTGGTCTGAATCAATGTATAATCAGTGTTTATGAGTTGTATTATGGTCTAATTTTGGTCCTGCACAATTCAGACTCTTATTTATGACCTGTATTATGGTCTAAATCAGTGACGAGTGAGAATTCACAGACATGCTGCATTTATAATTCTATATGGTCTTAAACCAAAGGACTTAATTCTTTATGTTTATGATGCTATCTGACAACTAACATTCTGTATGTTCTGTAATTACATATATAATTGAATGATAACTGCAATTAATTCTTTGCTCATTTGCCAAATGAGCAGTTAATTTTTTGCTCATTTGTCAAATGAGCAAAACATTCACTTGCTCATTTGTAAAAAAAATTTCAATTTACTTATTTTATGACTTTTCTCATTTCAAATTCACTTTACTCATTTCTTATTTACTCTTTTCATTTATGTTCATCTTATTTATGTATTTTTCTTTATTTATTTTTTAGGATTGCCTTTTTCAATACGAAAGTGATCGTGCTCAAGAAAGGAATAAAATGTTTTGTGAGGTTGTGGAGTTGGAATTCAGCAAAACAATCATCCCAAAGAAAGATATTGAGCTTTTCTTTTTCCCGGTATTTGAAAAGGATCATTATTATCTGGTATGTTTTAACACCACCACAGACTGTGGTACAATTGAGGTTATTGATTACAGTGAAGGTCCTAGAGAAAATAAGAAATTGCTTAAAAATCTGGTATGTCTTCTGCCACTTCTTCTTCATCATTAATATCCACATTGATGCCTGCCATGTTGTTACCAGATTCTTTATTCATGTCTCCTCTCATTATATCACTGGTACCTTAACCCTTTCAGAGGATTCTCCTCTGAATTTCTTCTTTCTCCCATAACAAGAAAATACACACACACACTCACGGCAGAGACACACACACACACATACACAGGCGCACACACACACACACATGCATACACACACACATACACACACGCACACATACACACACACACACAAGCAAAGTCTTAAATAGCTTCCTGTTAGTCTCTGACCTCACTTTGAATCTATTCATGGTCAGCTTGATTCTTTCGGGATATATGACATGTAAAACTTTTCTAGAGGATACTTGCAAAACTCTGTGATTTATTTTTCTACATAATGTGCATCTCTGCATTTGAACAATGTGTTTGAGAGTTTCTGATTGTATACAGGCACACACACACATACACAGGCGCACACAAACACACACACACACACACAAATACACACACACACGCATACACACACACATACACACACGCACACATACACATACACACACACACACACACACAAGCACACATACAACCTGTAATAGAATCTGAAATCAGATTCTGAAATTAGTTTTTGGAATCAGAATTGTGTAATGTGTGGGTAGGTTTGTGTGGGTAGGTGGCAGTAATGGCTCAAGATTTTGTTAGATTATTTTAGAAAAATGATTTGAGTTTAGTTGTTTATCTTGATCTTGTTCTGCTTGTTCTAACTATATTTGTTCCACCTGTTTTTGTTCTTATTTTAACTTATTTGTTCATTTTCAGAAAAGTGCATTTTCATATTTCATGAATGGTGAAGGAAGTATACAAAGTGTTGTTTTGTCAAAACAAATCAAGTCTATGGAGTCTGTTGTGGTTGATTTACCTTGGAAGTCTTCAGATGATTATCATTTGCATTGCGGTGTTGTAATGATGAGGCATATGGAAACATATATGGGTTTGCAAAAGTGGAATTCAGGTTTAAAGAAAAATAATGTAAGTCTAACCAGAAAAAGTCTAATTGCAATTTTTATAATTTGATTCTTCTGGAATGAGAAATCTGCACTTTTTAGATTAAAATTTGTGAGCAGCTTGTTGATATACATTCATGAAGCCATTACTTACCCTATACTTACTCTGAATTATTGCTTCATTTTTTCTCTTTGCAAGACATAATCATTGACAAACTTCGTTTGAAGTATACCCTCTCAATTATTTCAAGTGAAGTAAATACTGTTAAACCTGTTAAACAAGTTGTCCAAAAGGAAAATGAGGAAGCAAGTGATGCTGAAGAAAGCTAGGGGCAGCAATCCAAGAGCAATTAACGGAGAGAATTGAAGACTGAAGTTGATCAATTGTTCTTAGGATTTGTATATTTTTGTACAGAACAATAGAAGTGTTAGTTTTATGATGTTCTTAATAGGACAAATGTGATAAATGTTCTTAGTTGATTTAATGTTTTTATGATGTTGTTAGGATTTTCTAAGTATAAATTTTGCTATGTCAATGTAATGGATATGATTTTCTATCTTATTGACTAAGTTGTTTGTCATTTGTTAAATTCCTGATTAACTATTTGAGCAACTGACTATTTGCTCATTTGCTAAATGAGCAAAGAAATGTTTTCTTATTTTTAAATAAATAACTAATTATTTGCTCATTTGAAAAATGAGGAAACTAATGCTTACTCATTTCACAAATGAGCAAAGAAATGGTTGTTGATTTAATGTATTATTAAAAGGAATGTTTACTCATTTGACAAATGAGTATTAACTATTTGCTCATTTGACAAATGAGTATTAACTATTTGCTCATTTGCCAAATGACCAAATAAATAATGCTAAATCTTATATTTATATAAAAATATTAACTTTTATATTTGTATATAAGTATCATTATACAAATATCAGCAAATATCTAGTTAATTTAGCCTCTATGATTTTGAAGATTAGGGTATGTTCTCTTTATTGAACTCATTGTATAATATCTTGGATTGGACTATTTCTGTTACCAAGGACATTACAATAGCTTTGGTATAATTACATATGTGTGTATGATAGATAAACAGAGCTTGCAAAATATTTGCTCATTTCGACAAAATTTAAAACACAAAATGCTAAATCATATATTTATATAAAAATATTAACTTTTATATTTGTATAAAAGTATCATTATACTTTGTTTGGACAATTTCTAATATCATGATGACTCAATTCACCACAACCTCTACATAATCTCTTCTTTTTCTGGTTTTGTTCTACAACCTTTTCTTTTTCTCCCTTTAGCCTTTTTGCACTTCTACCTCTTGTTTCAACATTTGGCACATCAATCTCAGCCCCTTTCTCTTTTGAAGTCTCTACATTTGATACATGAATTCCAGTCCCTTTATTCTTTGAAATTTTTGGAGGTTTGACAATTATTTCAGTTGGCACACTAGCTCCAATCAATAGCTCAATGTCTTGTCCTTTGTTGTTTGCACTTCCTGTTGTTTCATTATTCCTTGCAATCCTCTTAGCCTCCAAATCCTTTCTTATTCTTTGAAGATTTATCACAAGATCTTGAATATCTTCATCATTGCCTTCTGCCAAACTTACACAACTGTGTATCTCTGACCATAAATCATTTAACAATTTTTTCTTGTCAATTAAATTAGCACATTGCTCCAACAGGTTTCCACCCAAGTCAAAAATTGGTTTTTTCAGTGCCATAGTAGTCCATCTGTGTAGTATATACTGCTCAGGAATGGTTTCAAACCTTTTTACTTTCCAAACCCAAATCATATGTCTACATGAAATTCCTTGTCTATAAAACAACTTGCAAGAACATGTGGTGTCAAAGTTAGTTGGATTAAACACAACATCAAATGTTCTAATCCGATTTCTTTCACTTACTTTTGCAACTTCCAATCCATTTTCTTTCTTCAATTCAAACACCACATGAAAAACAAGCAATTTCAACCTCATATTGAAATTCATAAAAGACAGAGTTAGTATATAAATGTGAGGCATGCTTTTCTATCCCTAGTGGTGTTTTGCACTCAGGATATTTGTGCTTTGAATCATTATCATTCTGACCTTGAGTGTGTCTCTGGGCATCAATTGCAGCTTCATATCTCAAGTAAAACTCAACAAGTGACACATGAGGATTGATAAAGGAGCAAAAAAAGTTGTTTTCGCTTTCGGATCTTGATGTTGTACGCATTATTCCTCCAAGGAACACATCTCTGAAATATGCCGGAATCCACTTGTTCCTTATCTTGTACATATAACCTAACCACTCATGTTCTTCCAAGTGGTATTCAACCATCACCTTGTTCCACCTTTCTTCAAACTCAGCAGGTTCAATTTCAAGATGCCAAACACAAGCACATAATTTTTTTAGGAAATCAGTTTCTTCTTGCATGATTGATTTCTCCACCTTATCTGGTAACTTTTTCATTATGTGCCACATACAGAAGCGATGTTCAGTCTTGTTAAACACAATTTTAACAGCAATTTTCATTGCTGGATCTTGATCTGTAATCATACAATTCGGTTCATTTCCACCCATTGCCTTGAGAAATGATTTGAACAACCACTGAAATGACACTATATCTTCCTTTGCTATGAAACCAGCAGCAAAAGTAATGCAGCTCTTATGATGGTCAACCCCTGTAAATGGAGTAAACACCATGTTGTACCTGTTTACACATACTGATTAAATTTTAAATGATCAAATAACTACACACACACATAAATACACAGACACACGTACTTAGACACAGACACACACACGCACACACGCACACACACATATACACATACATACACGCACTCACAATCTGTGATAGAATCTGAATTCAGATTATGAAATCAGAATTGTCATTAGCTACTGAAATAATTCAATGCTCATTTGACAAATGGGCAAATAATTGATTGTTTATTTGTCAAATGAGCTTATAACTCAATGCTAATTTGTGAAATAAGCAAACAATTGTTTGCTTTTTTGTCAAATGAGCAAATAATTGAATGCACATTTCTGAAATGAGCAAATAAGTCAATGCTCATTTGTGAAATAAACAAACAGTTATACTAAGTTCATTTAAAACAAAGTTATTAATTTAAGCTACAGTTATAACATAAAAATGATTTGTGATTTTTATAAATTACCTATTGGTTTGGTATGTGGTATCAAAGGATACCATATCACCAAATAGAGCGTAACTCTTTTTACAAAGGGGATCAGCCCATAATGCTCTACAAAGGCAATAATCATCATCCATCTCAAAATCAAAGAAAAAAGCGCTCCACATTAACTTTTTGTTGGTAAAGTTATCCACGAACATTTGAGCATCACTTTCTTGAATGTATGCTTTCAAATCTCTATGAATTTTTTTGAAATCTTGCTTAGATGCACCGATGTTATCATATCCTCCAACAATTTCCTTCATCATTCAAAAAGTTGTAACAGGACCAATATTCACCTATTTAAAGAACAAAACAGTTTGTCAAATGAGCAAATAATTTAATGCTCATTTTTCAAATGAGCATACTACTTTTATTAGAACATACAGAGAATTCATGAAACATAAGAGGCTTTGAAAGTCGTACCTTAGAATTATTCACAATTATTTTTTTGTGCAATATGTTCATTTTTCTTCCTTCTTTTTGGAAGAGATTGCAACTAGGTGTATAAAGTGGATGAGTATGTCCCTCATGAAATTGTGACACTATGAATTTGTTATCATCACAATGCTTTATGATAATATGTGCCTTGCACCCAACACGAGTAACGAGTCTCTTCCTTTTGATTGAAGTTTTTTCTTCATTGCTTTCTCCTTCGTTGTTATTTAAATCTTTTTCAACAGTAGGCTTTCTTTTCTCTTTGTATACTTCTTTATTGCATAAGATATACTGTGATTTCAATTCTTCGCTTCTTCTTTGCCTTTTAGTTGTAGATTTTCTTGTGTTGAATCCAGCAGCAAATGCGTATCTTTTATAAAATTCAAGGCCCTCTTCAAGATTATTAAACTTCATCTCTATAGCTGGTTTCAACTCATTGGGGCATATTGGAAGCCATTCTTTTGTTCCTCCAAGAGTGAGCAAATGTGCTACTTTAGGAGAAACTACTATTGTAGGAGTAGTTGCCACATTTGTGATGGTACTAGAATGACTGTCAAGTTCTTCATTGTTGCTCATCATTTCTGAAATCAGATTCAGAATTCAGAATTGCAAACAGAAAGATGAGGGGGGGGGGGAATAGGTTTGTATAAGTGTAAGAAGGGAATGTGGTTGGTGTGCAGGAAATAGACCAAGAAGAAGTGGGGTGGGGCTTGTGTGCAGGCAAGAAAACCAAGGAACTCAATGATTTGATATCAGAAATGATGATTTAAAAAGGAGTAAAACTTGATAATGCTACCCTTCAATATGTTTTGCAAAACCTAGCATATATAGCATTCATTATAGCATAGTATAGCATATTTGCCAGCAAAAACCATACATTCTTAGACACACACACACACACTCTAACACATGCACTCTTACACTCACTTACACACACACACACACACACACACACACATACACACAGTAATTTCAGATTATCACAACACACAGAAGTGCTCAATCTAAGAAGCACAACCTCTTGCTCATTTGATAAATGAGCAACTAAATATTTGCTCATTAGCTACAGCTACCTCTTTCACTTTCACTGCTTCTGCAACTCATGTTAATGAGCTGAATCCCATTTCTCACCCTCTTTCTTACACTGTACAATTACCACCACCACCAAACTCTCTCTCCTTCCTCTGCCCCTGTCCCTGTACCTTTCCACCACCAATATCACCACCACAACCTGTCGCACTCTCACTCCCTCGCCGCCACCCCTGTCCCCTGCACCTTACCACCACCATAATTACCAACTTATTTTGCTCATTTGCTCCTTTTTATATTTGCTCAATTTAATTATGTTTGCTCATTATATGTTTTTTATATTATTACAAATATTTAGGTTTGCTCATTTTCAATTCATTTGCTCATTTTAAATTTGATTGCAAATTTTCAATTTCTATCAAATTAATCAAACCTAAATTTTTGATTTAATTCAAAATATTTCAAAGAAGTAAATTCAATCAAATCCATAATTGATGCAATTAAACAAGCAATTCAATGAGAACAGAACAAACCTCAAAAATCGAAAATTCTCATGCAATTAACATGCAATTCAATAACCTGGTGATTGATGCAATTAAATATGCAAATTAATAAGAACAGAACAAACTAAAAAA